GGGTTTTGTTGGGAATTGGTCCTCATGATGTTATATGCATTGTATCTGATATCTCCATGGTTTATTTTCAGTATCGTAATTACGAGGCGATTTGAGGCAAGATCCGGATCAGGATCAGAGCCTGGTGGCCATGATAGGCCAACATTGATCGAGGATCGGGTTAGGGAGATCCTTCAGGAGGAGGTTGTTTCCCTCTTCCAGGCGCAGTTACCAAAGATGTTTGGGTCTATTAAGACCGCTATGGTGGAGTACTTTGACAAGTGATACGCTGCACTTTCTGAGACTGCTGTTGATGCAGCCACCGCATCCGTTGCTGCTGTCAGGATTGGCGCTGGGAGATTCTTCCAGTACTAGGACTTCGACAATACGAAGCCCCCGGTTTATGATGGAGTTCAGGATCCGATCATAGCCATGAGGTGGTTGTCTGACGTTGAGGGATGTTTCTTCACTTGCTCTTGCATGCTATCTGGCTGAAGGCTCTGTGTGCACGCTGTTTGTTATTATGTTTATGTGGTGGTACTTTAGGGGGAACTCACTAAGCATTGGCTTACAGTTTTGGTTTATGGTTTCATGTACTTCGGAAGATCGTGGGAAGGCGAAGGCATGACCGTACACATCCTCTTGTTTATGGTTTATGATTTTTGGAGACTTTGATGTTTGGAAAATATTTTGAAAACCATGATTTGTAAACAATTTATGATTTTGGGTTGATTTTAAAAGTTTAAATTTCTTGTGATTTTTATGGATGTTACACTGTAGTTCAACCTTCACTACGGTGTGGTGCTTCAAAGTACATTACCATTACTATACATTTTACGTCAATTGATTTATCGCCTTCTCCACCATGTTGTGGTTCTTGATGCAAGGATTTTCTTTGTTTCATTCTTCCCATTTTGCCCCTATTTACTACATGTCACCTCTTAATTCATTAAGCCCCTATTTCATTCAAGACTTATTTACTTTATAACACCTATTTAATTTGTAATACCCCTCTTTTACAACATTATAAATTTCACTCAATATTCAAGATTTACTTAAAATGACCAAAATACCATTTCAACACTTTTATTACAATGTTTTGTTAAACTTCAATACAAACAGCTGCATATTTTACATTGCTACCAACTCATAGTTGTAATTTATTTAAAACAAAACAAGTGTCACAATAATTAGTCTAATAGGTTGTCAAAATAAAATAATTGGCAAAATATTAACTAATTGGATGGGTTCAGTGGTAGATGGATTAGTGAGTACTAAGAAATCAACTTTCATTTAGGAAGACAAATCTTGGTGCAAGGCTAAGAATGGAAAGGTTATAGGATTTTCTCGATGATATTGTTGGTAGGATGGGCTTTAGTGACAAGTGGAAGGGTGGATTAATGGTGTTGTAGTTGTCTAGAGGCTCGATTCTAGTTAATGGTTTTGCTACTGAAGAATTTTGGTTTTTTAGAATTCTCTGTATGCATAACCCTTTTTTTTCTATTTATCGTGGTGATGAAAAGCTTGCATGTAGCTTTTCAAAGGGTCATTGACTGAAACCTTTTTCTGGTAGTATTTCTATTGGTTTGGATACTACTCTTGTTTTCACATTTGTTTATGTTGATGATGCAATCTTTGTTGGATAGTGAAAGAAGACAAATATCACTAATATTATGTGGGCTCTCCATTATTTTTCACATGGCTCGTGGGATGAAAATAAACCTCCATACAAAGTAAACTTTTAGGTATTGGGGTGCCTAATGTGGAGGTTGAGGAAGTAAGGAAAAATATAGGGTGTGCTACATTGAAGACGTCGTTTTCTTATCTTGACCTCGTTGTTTGAGGTAATATGACTTGGTTGATTATTGGTAAGAGGTTATTACAACTTCAATTACCCTTTCTTCTATTCTATACAAGTGGATTTGGTCTTTATCTAGGGTTGGTGAGTTTTTTGTGGCTTCCGTGTGTGCCTATATTGATGAAAGTTGTTCCCTTTGACTAGTTCTCCTACTCGATGGATCCGGCTAAACCCCAACAAGGTCAACATTTTTCAGCTAACACGCCAAACATAACAAAAAACTATTGTGATAATCATTATTCAATTATTTAATAGAATAATTTTTCTAGGTTGCAGACACTACGATACACTTTAAACGACAATTAAATCATTTGACATGTTTTTAACTGCTTTTCTAGTTTTCTTACTCATTTAACTCGTCAATGATAAATTATAATCCCGACTAATATTATATTTATAGATATTAAATTGTCCCCTCTACTGTTGGAATCCTAAGTCTTGGGGTCCAAGCAATCTAATTTATGGAAAGTTTACTTTATGACAAGTTGGTCATAAGTTTCCTAGTCTAATACAAGTTGGTATGTTAGGCTATATATACCAGTCCATAATCGAGTTTATGATTATGAGAACCAGATTGTAAAAACATTGGTTTTGAGTGATTTTTCAATTAATCAAAGAGTTATTTTGGTTATTTTGTTTTGCATTCTTGTTTTCTAAACTTTAATTGGTATCAGAGACTAGGGTTCATGAGGACGTAGGGCGGTCTGTTTGAGAGTCGGTTTCAAGAAAACTATAGCCTTTTGCTGCGGGGCAGACATAGCGGGAACCGGGTTCGGTTTAAGGGGGTGTGACTTGTTTTTTAGCGCAAGTTGAAGCATCTCAATAGAAGCCCCGATTTCTCTTGATCAGGCTTGTTCTACGGTAGAGAGAGACTAACCGGAGGCGCGGAATAAACGAACGGGAAGACGTAAAGCGAGTAGCTTTTATTCGGTTCGTTTTACGGGTGACGGAAGACGGTAAAGGTGGCCGTGACCGATAGGGGTGAGCAAAAACCGAACCGATAAAAGAAAAACCGCAATAAACCGAAACCGAAAAACTGAAACCGACGCAAAAACCGATGGTGCGGATTTTAGTTTTTTGAAAAACCGAATTTATTGGTGCGGTGCGGTTTTTATCTAGAAATCAGACCACCAAAACCGAACCGCACCGCAAGCTTATTAACAATAAAATAAATCACTAATTTATATTATATAATTATACATATTATTTAAAAAACTAATAAATTCTAATTTATACATATATTATATATTGAACTTGACGGTAATTAGTAATTATGTATTAGGTTTAATATGTGAGTTTGTCACTTTGTGTTTGTGATTTAATGATTATGTGTAAAGTGTAAACACTATGTGGGCTACAACTTGCAAGCTTGTAACTTCTAAGCACAAATTGAATAAAAAAATGAGCTTGGGAATATAGGTTGTGAATGAAGTGATCAAGTAAACAACATAAAAAAACTCAAAATTACAGCTTCTAAATGTGAGAAAACGAAATGACAGCATGTCATACAATCATAAATCTTTGCATGAACACCACGGTTAAAAAAATCGTACCGGTGAACATAAAAAACCACACCATATGTTTGACTCGGTTTAAAACCAACACCGAACCGGTACAAACCGAAACCGCACTCAAAAACCGCAAAACCGAACCATTAAAAAACTGCACCCAATGGTTTTTAGAATTCAAAAACCGCACCTTCTGGTTTGCGGTTCGGTTTGGCCCTAAAACAGCACCAAACCGCACCATGCTCACCCCTAGTGACCGAGGTGGAGGTCAGGTGTCCAGAAAAGTCGAGAATCGAGATGGTTCGAAAAAAAGGTGATTTTCAGAATGTGACGACAACGACGAGCCCGTATTTTAAATACGGATTGAGGTTGAAGAAATCTTTAGGACTTAGAGATTCGGGGGTGATTGTTGGAATCCTAAGTCTTGGGGTCCAAGCAATCTAATTTATGGAAGGTTTAGTTTATAACAAGTTGGTCATAAGTTTCCTAGTCTAATACAAGTTGGTATGTTAGGCTATATATACCAGTCCATAATCGAGTTTATGATTATGAGAACAGATTGTAAAAACATTGGTTTTAAGTGATTTTCCAATTAATCAAAGAGTTATTTTGGTTATTTTGTTTGCATTCTTGTTTTCTAAACTTTATCTACAACATACCAACTACATTAATTTGCGGATAGTATATAACTATATATCGATGTCAAAATTTGGTGGATTTGGTTAGAAGGTAAGTCTATATGCATGAAACTAGAGTTGACCATTTTGTTTCAGTTTAGAGAACTTCGAAATTGTCTGGCATGTAGCTTGGAAAGAATGTAATGTTGGTGAAGGAAAAGAATCTTATGTTTGTGAAATCAAGTGAGATTGTGACTCGATACCTTCTCATTAGGTAAGTTGCAAGCAAAGAAACCCCAAAAATCTTGATGCAACATCTTATCAAGAGTATCTATCTTGTACTAACTATTCTGTTATATCGATTCAGATAACTTAAAATTTTTGAATTTGAGATATGTATTTTGTCTTTGTATCATTAGGATTTCAGGTAATGGAAAACACGTATGATTTCTTTTAAAAGCTATATTTTTCAAATTTATGATAACCATCCTATATCGTATGTTATGCAAAAAAAACATTGTAAGTTTGATAACCCTGCAAAGAAAGAAAAAGAAAAGGCTAGAGAGAGAGCCAACTAATAATGACATCTTTTAAATATTTAAGAGATAAAGATATATGCCCCCACTTGTGCAATCACTGAAGGTAGTCAAATGAATTTAAGCTGAGACTCAATATTCAAGAAAAGGAGTAGGTAAACCAACTTGCTATAGCACTAAAGAAAAATGTCCAAATTGTTTCATGATTAGGTTTGTTGAAGATGTTATAAAAACCAAAAACATTGAACTTATGAGTATTCTGTAAAATTGATTTTCATGTAACATAAGTTATCATTATTACTTATATTAACATTTTTTGTATTAAAAGTTCATAACTAACACCAACACATCTTCCAAAACTCAAGTTTGCAGCCAAGTAAATGAAGGATTAATTCATTTATAACCCCATATACCAAAAGATTATATTCATAAACATCCTTAAAACCCTAAAAAGGGAGTTGCTAGAAACACAACTTCTCTCTTTTTACCACACTTCTTTACACTAAATAAACTCCTGTACCAAATTACTAAGATCAAATTTCCCATTGCAGCATTCCACAACACTTACCACCTCTTGGAAAGCCGTGACACTGCATGGAACCACCAATCCATTCTTCTGCTCGAACCCAAACTCATCTGAAGCCTTATCAAGCAACATCTTGAAGAGAGGATGAGACAAATAGCCTGTTGGAACCACGAACCTTTTTCTCTCTTCCCCTATGTAAAGCGCAATAAACCCAGTTGGGGTTGTGCAAGAAGGGGAAGAACATGCCTCTTCTTTTTCCCTAAGCAAGTACTCATGGTGTGATTCTGTGCCATTAACGACTTTAACTTTTACCTTTTTGGCCAGTTTCTTGACTGAACCCATCTTTCCCAACATGTTGTTCTTGAGAGAGAGAGAGAGAGAGAGAGAGAGAGAGAGAAATATTAGAGAGTTTTGAACGATGATAGTGGGGAGGAAGGGGAATAGCGAATATGTTATATGTAGTGTAGAGCATAGAGAGGAGGAATTAATGTCCCAAAAGATGGTCAACTTATTGACTTTATATATCATAAAGATTTTTGAGCCTTATGATTGTGTTGGTATTCTTGTAATCTTGTGTCATGGGAATCTCATCATTTTACTTTGTCTTATCATCCCATATATATAGTTTGTACGTTTTCTTAATTTGCTTGATTGTTTAAAATTGGTTTACATTAATATAATGAGATGTAATGTTTTACTAGTGTATTTATTGTTTTATTGGTCTTCCTAGAAACTTGCTAATTTGATTTAGCATTTAACACTATTGACCAACAAAGATTAAAGATATAAATAACTTAGTAAAGATACAATTATGTATTAAATACTTTCTTCCTCTAAGTCTTCTCAATGGTTTTACGCATGATTTAAAAAAAAATTACAAAATATTTAACCATTCAAATATTTGAAAAGGCAAGGACAAATTGGTAAAAATCAAAATTATTTTGAAGATTGGATTTCATTTTAGAAACTCAATATTATACTTTAATATAGTATACGAACGCATTAATTACCACTTATATCATTAAACCTATTAATGCTTGTTAAAACAATTTTAATATTTTATTTAAGTTATTAATAAGTTTATACATTAATCTACATAGTTTTATTATTAATTTTTAAAGAAAAGTTATTACCAACACAATGTTGGGGTTGGTGTATAATGTATGTTGATGGGCGTTAATGGTGGGTGGCATGATAAATTTTACTTTCTCTCACCCATGGATCTTAATTTTAATTCATATGGATTCTCTTAAAACTAAGTCAATTTTGATTACGTTTAAGGGATTATTAAGCGAGTAAAATTATAAAAAAAAAGTATGTAAAAAAACAAGTCAAAAATTTTATAAAAACATCCGGATACTAATAATCCCTTAGATCATTTTATTTATAGAAATAGTTTATTGTTTTAATAATAAGATTTTTTAATATATATCCTAAAGAAACATACCAGAAACATTAATTATAGGAAATATTATCATAATTAAATATAAAATATATTAATTATATGATATATCTTTCATAATTAACGTATTTTATAATTTTCAATGAGAAATATTCCCTAAAATGAATGCATTTTACATGTAATTATGATAATATCCTCTCTAATAAATGAATGTTTTTTTGTCACTTGTCATATATTCTCATTTAATATGTCAAATGTTATTTTGTTGTTATTTTGAATTTATTTTTTTCCACATATTATTTTATGAGTTTTTCTATTTTATTAAATTATACATAATATTTTAATGTAATAATTGTAATAAATATAACAATAAATAGATATTACTTTCATTAATAAACTTGCATTTTAATTTCAAAATTCCCAAATTAAAGCTAATTAATTTCTTTCCTTTATTTAAATTATTATTTTTAATTTAAAATATAAAAAACATTACATTATAATAATTTATTATTTTTCTTATTTTCTTATAAATTGAGAGTTCTCAAATATTTCTGACATTTATATTTAACTTTTTTTAAATTAATTCATGTAATACATGAGTCTCACAACAAGTTTCTTATAATTAATAATTCTTATTTGTGCCATTAGGCTAAAGGGAGTGATATATGACATGTAATACTTCTTCACAATCACCTTACCCCCACATTGTTTTTGTCACAAAATATGCATGACATGCCCTTTTTAACTGTGAGCAAATTGGTAAAAATTAAAAAATATAACAAAAAAAAGACATTACACTCACATGCATATTATTTCTCCTCTCACACTCCTCGAGAACCCAATACCACAAGCCAACTTTTTCATTGCCATGTCACAACGAGGATACAATGTATGCCATGCTTGTCATGGGTAGAGTTGATAATGGGTCGATCTGGGTTGGGTTCGGGTTCAACCTATTTATTAACTGGGTTGAAGATTTTAACACAACCCAACCTATTTATTTAAATGAGTTGATATTTTCAACCTAATCCAACTTTTTAGATAAATGTGTTGTCATTGGGTTGACCTGCTTATGTAGTTTCTAATCCAACCTATTAAATACATATGTTAAATTTGGGTTAACCAATTTAAAATAAAAAAACTAGATAAATTAACTAAGGATTATACCATTTAAATTAGTTCCAAACATAAATAAAATTTCAAAGTATGACAAAAACACAATCTCAATTCACAAATACAAATAAATTGTTCAAATAACATTAAAAAAATGTTTAATGTCAATGTGATTTTGGAGAGTGACTAATATTGTTGGCACTAAGAAAAAGGATGAGAACTAAAATTGTATTTTTTTTAAAAACATAAATAATAATACAAAATAATAATTTATAAATTAATATTTTGATTAATACATGATAATATTCAAATAATTATAGAATTAAATACATATTAAAGTTAAATTGATTGACGGATTGAAAACAGGTTGATAAATTTTACTCAACCCAACCTATTTAATTAAATGTATTAGGCGGGTTAACACATTTAACTTAAATGAGTTGAAAATCTCAACCCAACCCACTACTTTTGGGTTGAGTTGGCGGGTTTGATCGCTATTTGACAGCTCTAGTCATAGGCATGGCGAGCTAAATGTCACTTCATATCCTCAAGCCTTAAGGTGCATGTTAAAAAATCCCTTAATAATATAATTACATCTTCTATAACTTATTAATTAACAAAATATTCAAATAACTAAATAAATACATGGTGGCATGCCAATGCAACTCAAGTCAGTCCATTCTTGTAGGGATAATGTCACTATAGCACATTGAACTTTTGTGATTTGTCCGACTTGACCAATTATGTTTTTTTTTTTTTTTTTTTTTTTTTTTTTTTTTTTTTTTTTGCGTATTAGGTCATCTAGCTTTTACCGTACATATCAATTAGGTCATTATCGTTAGTTTTTAACCATTCCTCCGTTAACTAGTTTTCTAAATTACACGAATGGCCCATATGGTTTAAATTTCTTTCGTAATTAGTCGTTATCAGCCATGTTTTAAATCATACGAATAAAACTACCACAATTCTGAAACTCTAGGGACCAAAGTGTAACATTGTCATTATGGGAACATATTGCAGATTATTGTTATTTTATGATTATAAAAATGTGAACACCAAACATAAATCATATTGACATTAAGGAAATATCATATAAAAGAATGAAATCTTAAATTCTCTGGGTAGTTGTTGACAGTGGCCTCTGTTTCAATCCACTCATCATGTTCATCATCATCTTGCTACTATCCACGCTCTTCTGTACGGATGGTTTCCTACTCTTCAATGGAGAAACCAATTTACTTGCCAATCGAGATGGTGAAAAAGACCTCCGCAACTTTGCCGCCGTCGACACCTTCTTAGGAGTTGAAATCGACTTCTTCACAGAGGTCGTCCTTGGCGGTGACATCAACTTCTTCTTTTCGGTGACTGTCCTGGGCGGTGAGATTGACTTATTTTTCATGGTAGCCACCCCAGATCTGGTTGGAGATACGCAAATCGGTGGGTTCCTAGGCTTCAACGGCGAAGCCAATCTAGTCGCCAACCTCGACGGCGAAAATGACCTCCGCAGCTTTGCTGACGTGGAGACGTTCTTAGGCGGTGTCATCGCCTTCTTCTTCGCGCTGGCCGTTTTGGGTTTGGTCGGAGATACAGAAAGTGGTGGACTGCGAATCTTTACTTGAAACTTAGCCACAGCGGCAGGAGGCGGCGACGTCTTGATTAGAAACTTGTGAGGGGTGGTCTGACGGGTTCTTGCAATCACCGGCGACCTTGTTCTGCAAAATTTTTGGTTTTGTGAAGTTGTTATTAAATGGAAAAGGGGTACGGGAAGATCACAATTTTTCTACCCAAGGTTTGTTCTTCGGTGACACCCTATTCGCCGGAAACTGACCCTTTTCATTCTCGATTTCTTTTTTGGGTGGTGAACCGGAGACTTTGAAATTAATCTTTGATTTTTTCTCTTTCAAGTAAAGGAGAATGTAGATCTGATCGGATTATCCGTTTCTCTCTCTTTCTCCGTGACCGGAGCTCGGTGGTTTCTGGGGTTAACCTCAAATTTCGTCTGGAATCAGTCACCGAAGTTTTCAGATCGCTGCCGGCCCCGGTGGTAATCTTTTTGGCTTTGGTTTCAACAGTCACGATAATTGACTGACATTTGATTAGGCTTTTAAGTATCAAAAATAACTTAATACCAACAAATTATGAATAACAATGAATTTATCAGATTCAACATATTTGATCGATTTTGAAGGAGCGTCGAGTAAGTTGGGATACGAAAGAATTTAGGGAAGACGATGACAATGTTGCACTTTGGTCCCTAGAGTTTCAGAATTGTGGTAGTTTTAGTTGTGTGATTTAAAACATGGCTGATAACGACCAATTACGAAAGAAATTTAAATCATAGGGGTCATTCGTGTAATTTAGAAAACTAGTTACCGGAGGAATGGTTAAAAACTAACGATAATGACCTAATTGACATGTACAGTAAAAGTTAGATGACCTAATGCGTAAAAACAAAAAAAAAACATAATTGGTCAAGTCGAACAAATCACAAAAATTCATTGTGCTACAGTGACATTATCTCATTCTTGTATGTGCATATAAGTTATCTATTATTCATATTGACTGATGCCTGCTCATCTATCTCGTCCATTTTAACCACATTTATTTAATTATTTTTTATTTTTATTTCTTTTAAAACGGCAAATAATTATATATTTTTCTCCTCTTATTGGGATTGAACCCAAGACCTCCTAATTAGTTGTTAGTTTAAACTTCATGTTAGCCAATTGAGCTAGCTCCAACTTGTTACCGCATTTAATTAGTCATAACTTTTCTTTTTATAAATATAAAAGTTATTACGTTTTCTATTTTTTTGGTTTAAACTTAATTTTCTTATTTATATATTCCGAAAAAAATTTATATTTTTCAAATTTGTTTGGTTTTTAATTGACATTTTCTTTTTTTGAAAAATAAAATCCAATTTCTTTTCATTAAAAAAAGAAAAAAAACTGTATTTGACAAATTTTTTGTATAGTTTGGAAAGAATTGGGCTTGACTCAAACACTTACATATAAAAGTGATGAGTAAATTACACGCATGGTCCCTGTGGTTTGGGTAATTAGCAAGTTTGGTCTTTAACTTATTTTTTTTAACTCGGAAGGTCTCTACTGTTTGTTTTTGTTTCGTGCTTGGTCCCTACTGTTTGTTTTTATTGCACGTTTGGTCCCTATCTTACATAAAAATACTATTATTTAAATAAAGAAAAATGATTGATAGGTAATGTAAGGTGAATGGGGTGAGGTCGATGGTGTGTTTATTTAAATAAATTAAAAAATCAAGGGAAAAATAGTTTTTTTTAGATAAGACAGAGACCAAACGCGTAATAAAAACAAACAGTAGGGACCTTCCGAGTTAAAAATTAAAATAAATTAGGGACCAAAGACGCAAATTACCCTAAACCATATGGACCATTCATGTAATTTACTCAAAAGTGATATAGAAGATCTATGAGTGTTAAGGTGAGTTTAATCTATTATATGTATATATTATATTTTAAAACTTTCTTTGATTTTATTTGATATATGCCTCTATCAGACTATCACTCGGATACTGTATGCTACATATATATGTGTGCATTCACAAAATAATTTTGTAAAGATTTTATAGAAATGAGGACAAACTACTTCGTTTTGAAATGAGATTTTATCATAAAGTTGTGCATCCATTTAGGATATATTAAGACTAGGTGTAACATTCATGGGTACCTAATTTGAAATTTTGAAAGATATTTGTGATGTCATTTTATAATACCCTTACATGCATATGTATACAATATCATAGTTTATATATATATATATATATGTTGGATTAGTGTCTAAGGCTGTAACTATATTTGGTAAGTACTTGACCCGGTTGTGCATGGTCCTTTTGGGTTGCCTTCACCATAGCAACTTGACATGATGATTTGTTAAGAGAGAAGAGATATTATTGTTAATATATTATGAGAATAATATATTAAAGAAATAATAATGTTATTTAATTAATATAAGTCATATATTAATTGAGAATTAATTTGGTGACTTAAAGAGGTTAATTGAATAAATGGGCATAAACTGTCAAATGTGTGATAGTTGTATTTTGGGCTATGTATCCTTATGAATATGAGGGTGGACGAATTTTAGGGTTTGGATACCATAAAATAGTCCAAGCCTATTATCTAGAAGGATCTTGGATTGCTTAGGGCCTAAGTCATTCAATTAGGGTTAAAGGTGAAACCCTAGTAGCTCATAGTATAAAATGGATCCCTTGGGGTTGGGGAAATCGGCACTCATGCAAGGCAAGAAACCCTAGGGCCGATGAACTCGGCGAGTTCCACTGTGGACTCGGTGAGTAGCTCCAACTCGGCGAGTCCATAGAGGTACTCGGCGAGTTCGAGCGTCAGAAGGAGGAAGTTTCGGGATTTCTTGCTGTTTTACTTGAGGATACTTGCCTTAACTGTTTTGGGTCATTAAAATCCGATTTTAATCATATATATATATATATATATGAGTATATTCTTGACCAAATAAAAGATAATTGTCAATTAGTTGAATAATAATTTCCTTATATGATTATAATTGATTATTTGAATAGAATTGGTAAATTGTCTTGCAAGTAATTCTAAATAAGATCAAATTGAGATAATCTAATTAGTTGATTTATATTATTTGCTATTTGATCCTTATGTGTTTTGAAAAGTTCTAAACTTGTCCTCAAGCTTTGAAATTTTATATTTTATGATTAAATGTTTAATTTGGATAATTTAAATTTCAATCCCTAGAATTTTACAAGTTTAAAATTCAACTATATACTATTATATTATTACAAGCTTAATATATATATGTATAATTTAAAATGCTAGTCTTACCGTTAGTAGGCCTCATTCACGAAGCCAGTCTATAAGGTGGGTATAAGGTTGCTGCCTATAAAATGGCGCTTAATGGGTGTACATTCACACCCACCGCTTGCTTGACTGGTGGAGGATCGTTAGCCGAACGGGTAGGATAGGGCAAACCTCCTCTCATTAATAAGTATAATGAATCTATATAAAGTAACTAAACATGTTTTATAAAATTCCCAATCTTAGTTACTTTAGGAAAAGTGAATTGATGCAATCCCATGAAATTACACTTTGTACCCTTGCTAAGACATTAATGGAGCGCGCGTGGTTAACCGGCACATTAATTGGGTTCTAAGCAAAGGTGGCAAAGGGTGACTCATTGTTTGTTATAGTTCAATGGAGCGTGTGTGGTTAACCAGCACATTGAATAGGTAACTGTAACAGTGGGGGCACCTTGTACATTTGCATGGTTATTCACACCCACTTTGTGATCCTCGGCATCCCAGTCACAAACGAGAGGGGCATATCGAGATTTAAACATGTCATTGAAAGGTTCAATGAATCTCAATGAAATCTAGGAATTCTCAATACATTTAAAACTTAAAGCTTATGTTTTTCATGGTGAAGAATTAGTGAATCGTCATTCACTTACCTCCAAATTATTTGCATGTTGGATTACGGCATCCCTTTTCTAATGTGTAAATAATGTTGTTGGGTCCTAGCCCTAATTTTCTTTTTGGGTGTTAATTAGGGGCTTAATTCTAATCAAACTTTGTTCCTTTCTATTTGTAGATGTCTAACGCAAACAACGCTACTGCTAGCTCATTCCCGCTAATGAGCCTTTGTCAAAAAGTGACTTTCGATGGAACGAACTTTAGCGAATGGATAAGATACATTCGCACGATCGCGCGTTACGAGGACAAAGAGTATGTTCTCGATGAGAAGCTCGAGAAGGTCAATCCAGAAACTGCTACTCCTGAAGAAATGGCTGTCTTTGAGAACCATGAGCGTGATGCAACGAAGGTCCATTGCATCATGATAGCCACAATGAACTCAGAATTCCAAAAATCCTATGAGGACATGTATCCTTATGAGATGCATCTAGACTTGATGGAGAGATATCACCAAAGCGCGAGGCAAGAACGCTATGAGATCATAACGAATATGATCACTGCTAAAATGGGAAGTGGAGAGTCTCTAACTGTGCACTTGCAAAAGATGCAAAGGTATGTTGATCGTCTTCGCAAGTTGAATGTCAACTTTGGGGAAGATTTGGCTATCGACATTGTTCTTCACTCCTTGCCCTCATGCTACAACCAATTTAGGATGACCTACCACATGAACAAGGAAGAGGTCACCCTAAGCAAACTCCAAGGGCTCCTGAGGACTGCTGAGAGCAACCTCAAGGACAAGTCTGTTGCACCAACTCCCAATCCACCCGTTGCTCCTGTTTTGGCTATTGGACAGGGAAGGGGCAAGAAGAGGAAGGATTTTTCAAAGAACCACCGCAAAGGAAAGTCACAAGATGGTTCCTCTTCTAGTGGGACCAAGGTTGATCCTGCTAAGCCCAACCCAAACCCAAAGGAGGCAGAGTGCCACCATTGCCACAAAATAGGACATTGGAAGAGAAGCTGCCCGGAATATCTGCAAGCCATCAAGGATGGGAAGATCAAGCCATCTTTCGCAGGTATTTACACAATTAAATCTAATGATTCATCTCATGCTATTTCTTGGGTTCTTGATACAGGGTGTGGTTACCACATTTGTTCTGATTTGCAGGGACTAGGAAGAAATAGGGAT